TTTCTCGGATTATTAAAAGGCGAAAAAATAAGACAAAAAGTTGATGAAAATAGAATTAGAAAAAAGATGGTCACGCCATCTCTGGTAGACCAAGTTGGGGGTGCATATGCAACCCGTCAACCTGCACCTGTACTAAAACTGGATAAATCGGGAGGGCGTGGCACCGATGAATAATTAGGGCTTATTGACTAAAGGGGGCAAAGGGCCTGGAAACATTGTTAATGTTCGATTTGTTGCGCCCCCAACAATAACAGTGGAGCAAATCCAATATTGCCAAGTTGATTATTTCGAATTAAATCGCCGCTAATGCCGTTTGCAAACCGCAGGACTCGGCCCTTTGACTACGAGCGTGAAATTGGAGCCCCCTTTAGCATCAACTTGCTCTAACGTGATTGCGCCTAATGAAATTGAACAGAGCACGGCAGGAATGGGCTGCGCCCATCCCGGCGATTCGATAATTAATAGGCGCATACTTAAGACAAGAAAATGTGGAGAGCGGCAGTTATTCATACGGGGTGTCACATAAATAATGGCGCAGTCGGACAAGTCCAGGACCTAATGCAGCTCACGCTGGGCGTACCAGCTACTTGTGTTTTATCTCGGCCTGTCTTGGGCGCGCATTTTTCTGCTTTCGCATGCCCACTTTAGCGAATTAATTGCCTGCATATTTATGCACATTATTAACGCCACCTCGTAACGGCCCATATTTCACCGATGATTTAATGGAGCGCCGAAAATTCGGGACAAACGCGAAAATCGGACAGTTTCATGCGATGTCCGCGCTAGCGGACGTTATTTGATGAGGTGAAAGGACTGGCCGGCATTCGGTTACTCAACAACCGGCTCGTCTATCCAATCCTGGCAACTGAGAGGAACGGATCGTTTCCGTGCGCGCTCTTCGGTTACCACAAAACATTAGATTTTCCTGCCCGAAACGCAAAATCATATGCCGTGCTTCCCATTCGGCCGCAATTATAATCAAATCGCCGACTGTTTCCGGATGGAATCTACGCAAACAACTGGATTTAATTTATACAGGGCGTCCAGCCGCCCAAGGCAGCGATTTAAGAAACCGCCAAGTGCCGCAGCACGTGTTGCGTCCTACCAAATGGTCACCAGGGGCTGCAATTAGCTCAGGGGGCAGATGGTGCGTTTTTGCGCCTTTTTGCGGGAAATTTGCATTTCCCCAATTTCCTGCTCGCATGAATTTCGTTCATTTCCGCCCGGCCCTTCATCAATTACGCTCTTTTAATCGCAGGAAATCGCCAATGATCATCGTCATATCGTCTAGCAATCAGAACTGCCAGCGCCACCTACACACGCTGCAAGCAATAAGCTGCCACATTTCTCCGATTTCCCAGATTTTTTCCTAAATTCAACCACGACCACAATTCCGATCAAACCCGGTAATTCCCAGGCTGCTCGCTGATTAATTTAAGCAGCTGTCACTAAAAGTGTTTCGCGACTAAACTCGGCCAAGAGATCTTGATAATTTTCCTATAAAGTCCGTGTCACTTAACATTTCGGCGACTCATCGATCGGAATTGATGCCAGTTAAGATAAAAAGGCAATAACATGATGAGAGAACAGAACGGCGAGATCAAGGTGTCGAACGACCTCTTCGCCGCTGACCCCTAACAATCAATATCCATGTCGCTCGGATAGATATTGCCATGTTATCGGACGCAAGGATACTGTTAGGTATCGAGCTGCGGCCCTGTTTTTTTCGGATTACCAGGCAGTTTGTCTACCTGGTTGGCTTCGGGCGTCTCTCCCAGCCGATTGAGACCTTTCGGAATTTGCATGGGTGGATAAGGTGCCTGAGGACGGCTCGATCTCGAAACCCGCTAGGGATTAGCAACCTTCTTTGCCCATCACAAAGCGCTACCTTCTAAATCTGCTTCTTTTGTCAGTTTGCTCCTTACAATGAAGCCTGTTAATCAGGGGGATTCTTACAAGTTTCGAGAGAATCTTCCGTTTTTCTAGAAGTTACTAGCCTTAAATTTTTTAAGCAAAGTTTTACAGGGTTTATTTTAACGAAATCTTCGTCTTCACGAAAGAGCGACTCCAAGGAACAAAACGCGAATTTTTTTGGACATTTAAGGGTATCTATCAGCTTAAAGCTCTGTATCGGTTATTACAACAACGTTAGTGTTTCTGTTCGGTTAATTTTTAAAAGCGCGTATTTTTGACCCTTAAAGGGCACCAACCTGAAGTGTCTTAAGGAATTTTCAAAGGGTTTGCCTGGCTTGCTTCGGTCATTCTTCCGAAATTTTTGTCTTTACCAAAATATACGCGAGTTTTTTGCTTCTTGCATTAAAGGACGCCACTTCAGTTTGGTCACGTTAGTGTTTTTGTTTCGCTAATCTTCCCAAACTCTCCTTTGCCTTAAAAACTGCCAGCACGAGTTTTTCACCCTTAAAGGGCACCAACCTCAAGTGTCTTAAGGAATTTTCAAAGGGTTTGCCTGGCTTGCTTCGGTCATTCTTCCATTCGAAACACAGAATTCGTTTTGGCATCGTTGGATAGAGAATTGAAAAGTCGATTCAGTCGTAACAACGTTAGTGAAGAAATTCGAGTAGTTTTGACCCAGAAAGCGAAATATTAACATCAAGCACTTAGGTTCAAGATTATGTAAAAATTTCATGTTTTCCGTCCCCTTTTTGCTCATATTTCGGAGGCAAAATGAGCAAGAACGCTCATTTGTACATCATTCTAGACAGAAATAAATGACCTTTTTAAAAAGTGAACCATAAATGGGGAAATGTTGGCAGTTTTCTCAAAAAATGCTTGAATTCAAGAAGTTTTAGATTTGCGTGGTTTTTTTTTGAGTTGCAAAATCCACTTGAACA